GTAAGCTGACTGGGAGCTGGGAGAAGCTGCCTGGTGAGACCTGCGGAGGGACGTCCTCTGCCTGGGCTGGAAAAGCTGGTACTGCAGGAACCGAAACCTCCAGAGGGAATCCCCCCGTCCGCATGTGGAGGTGCTGGGCAGAGAGACAGTCCCAAGAGGGAGTGGGGTGTGAGAATCCCAAACCCTGCATGGCTGCGTGAGGGGACACCTAACCCCTGGTGTTTGCAGGAGGTGTATTTTTCCGAAGGAGACCAAAGAAAAAGAAGCCTATTACCTGCCGTGGCTGACTGGAGACTTGTTCTTTGCTGAGTTACCAAGACAGACCAGAGCAGCAGAAGCCTCGCCTCCGCCACCTAGTGGTGCGTCATAGTTTCCTAGTTGGTCGGGTCGGAAGGGACCTGAGCAGATCATCAAGTCCCACCCCCTGCCCTGGCAGGAAAGAGTACTTCCCTTGGAAGTTGGTTCCAGATCCTAGCTGCCCTGACTGTGAAGTAGCGCCTCCTGACATCTAGCCTGAATCTACCCTCTGCCAGCCTGTGACCATTATTTCTTGTCACTCCTGGGAGTGCTCGGGGGAACAGGGACTCCCCCAATGCCTGCTGGTCCCCTCTGACTAGTTTATAAACCGCCACCAGATCCCCCCTCAGCCTTCTCTTGTGGAGGCTGAACAGGTTCAGGCCCCATAGCCCCTCCTCATAGGGCCTGCCCTGCTGTCCCGACCATGCGAGTGGCCCTCCTCTGGACCCGCTCCAAGTTGATCACATCCCTCCTGAAGTGCGGCGCCCAGACCTGGGCACAGTACTCCAGCTGCGGCCTGACCAGTGCCTCATAGAGGGGGAGGATCACCTCCTTGGCCCTGCTCGTGATGAAAGGTATGGTTGGCCTTCCTGACCGCATCCCCACACTGTCGGCCCATGTTCATTTTGGCCTCAATAATGACTCAGATCCTTTTCTGCCTCTGCGCTGATGACAAGGGCGTTCCCCAGCCTGTAGGTCTGCTGCTGGTTCTTCCTCCCCAGGTGCAGCACCTTGCGCTTGTCAGTGTTGAAACCCATCCTGTTCCCATCCACCCACCCCTGTAACCTGTCTGGGTCTGATTGCAGCCTATTCCTCCCTTCTAGCGTGCCCACACCCCCCCAAATCTTAGTGTCATCTGTGATTTTGAACAGGGTGCTTTTTATACTCTGTCCAAGTCGCTGATGAAGATGTTGAACAGCGAGGGCCCGAGGACCGAGCCCCAGGGGACCCCACTGCCCACGTCCCTCCAGGTCAGAAACGACCCGTTCACCACCGCTCTCTGGGTGCGGCCCTCCAGCCAATTGGTGATCCATCTGACCGTGTAGGTGTCGACGCCACAGTCGCCTAGTTTTTTAGTTAAAGCCGTCTCACAGTCTCATAGTTAAAGCCGTGCTGCCATTTCTCGTTCTGGGGATTGAGAGCAGGGGGAAATCAACCTGGGTTACACAGGGTTGGGGGGAAACCGTTTTAAAGGGTCATCGGCGGGTGAACGTCATGATTGACGTCATTTGATGCAAGTGGGACCGCCCGGCGAGCTGGAATTATTCACCTAATCCCGCAGTTGTAAATTTTATTCAAATTGTTGGTTTTATTGTTCACTCTGAATATGAGATGTACATCTCTCAGGAGCCCTCTCTCTGTTGAGGACAACAGAGCAGCGAGGGGATGGAAATGCAGGGAAGTCGCGCAGAACTCACTGTTCTCTCTCTCCTTGTAGAAGTGCACCGTCACCGGCATCAAGGTGAAGAGGACACGTGGCGGAGGCACAGACGCTGGCTTTCTTAGTCTTTGTCCAAGGGCAGGGCAGCCTGGGACTCTGACAACGTGCAACACTTCTTCTCTTGTGCTAACAAATCTCCCTCGCAGCTTGATAAGAACATCCGCTGCCAGTGCCAAATGAATGCCTTCAAATTAATATAAAGGGCAGGCATCCATTTCAATTCGTTGCATCCTTGTCAGCGGCGCAGAGCAGCAGAATGTCTCTGTAAATTTGACGATTGCTATATTGCTACCCAAGATAATCAGAGGACATGCCATTAGTCTTCCATCAAGCACAGTATGTATTTTGCTTTCAGCCATATTTATTTTAACTTCGCAGAGGGATAAATTAAATTTACAATGATACTCAACAACTGTCATGACTAAGTTTAAAATTCAATTATGCAGAGAAAAGGGTAAGGCAGGCTGCAAATGAGAAACCGTGCTCTCTATCATATATCAATAGCCTCTGCACCTCCCTTGCTCTCTCTGCTTTACCCAGCGCTGCCAATTCTGCTGCACAGTGGAGCAGGATTTCCTGAGAGACAACATAGAAAATCTCTCTGCAGACATGCCCGCCCCGGACAAGATGGCGCAAGAAGCATGCGGAGTGGTTGTCCCGATAGCTGCCCCAGCATCGCCTGCCCGTGGGGGAATGGACTGTTTGCAACAACAAGGGGTAAAAAAGAGGCACTGCTAGTATGCACCCTAGCCCAGACCGCATAACAGCACAAATGCAACGCATGTGCAGAGGGACCGGGGACAAGACTGCACTTGCCAGACAGCTCCCTGCTTTCAGAGGCTGGCCCAAAGCACCTGAAGCCCGAGTGGGGCAGGCAGCCCCTACGGTGGGGCCAGCATAGGGCCCGGCGGGCACTGTCATGGTATACAGGGCCCCTGACGCAGGAAAAAACGATGCCAACTACAAGCCCGGCTTGAGCCGCCTCAACTAGCAAACTCGATCGGGGACGTGCTTCCTGTCCACAGCTCTAGCGGTCACACAAGACAGGAGCCAGCATATGGAGTACACGAGGGCGACATTGTAATTCAATTACAATAATCAAATACAATTATTTCCGTGCTCAAGCCGCCGCCTCAGACTGTCTGCGGATGCCTCTGCTTGCTTGAACGGGAAAGACCGATCCAGCCCAGCGGGAGTCCGGGCGTCTCCTTTGCACGCCGAGCGCATGGCAGGCCCGAGCTGGGCTCTGCAAGCTCTAAGCATCGCTTTGCTTTTTGTTCGAGTGCTGCTCGGAAAGAGCCTTTCCGGCTGCGCGAGGCAACTCCGAGACGGCCCCTGGGTCAGCAAAGCCGGCAGGTCCACCGTCTCGAGGCAGAGAGACAGACAAGCGCAGAATCCAGGAAAGCCTGGCCGAGGCTTACCCGCAGCAGGGACCGCCCGGCGCCACGGCCAGAGGGGATGTTCAGATGCCAGCAGTCAGGAGGCAGAGGATTGCCGCAGGACAGCCAGGCCCTCAAGGTCAACTCAGGAAAAACTTCCTCGGCCCTCAGTGGGCCTGAACTGCTTTTACTTAGGGTTGCACCCTGGAAACTCACGCTTGATTGCCAGTCTCCGAGGCAGCGAAACAGCCACGAGATCCATGCTTCTGCTGCTGCTCTTCCAGCTCATCCATGCGGGTTATTTTATTTGACAAGGCACTTGTTTTAATGTGAAGGGATGTCACATCTCATAGTTCTTCCGCCTTTGAGTCCGTGGCCTACAAGTCCATGATGTTTCCCCCAGCTTTTGTTTTTGTCTACATTAAAACCTGGCAGACGACGATGAGCCATTAGGCAGCACCTGCTTGATATGCCAAGAAAACCTGGAGAGGACGAGGGCTGCATTAAACAGGTCAGGGGACTGGAAAACACAGAGGCGGAGATGTTCACCCACACGAGTGGCTCCGTGGCTCCCGCCCCACCCTCGGCTATCTCCGCACGCCCTAGCTGCACAACTGCCCTTTAGATGCACGCGCCGTGCATGCCCAGCCGTCCCCGACATCCTTCAGACGCAGGTGTTCCCCTCAGGCAGACGGTGAGCTTTGTACGTGCAAAGGCAGCCCGGGATCTCTGTTCCCTCTTGATCTTTTACAGCGAGTCCGCCTAAAGAAATCCTGCCCTGAAGATTTTCAACGTGATCGGTCTTAATGAAGAGCCAGGCTTTATCCACTGAGGCTTAAAGAGTGGGTCAGCAACATGCCCCACCATTAGAGATGGGGAAACCGAGGCCCAGAGAGATCAAGTGACCGGGCCAAAGTCCTACAGTCACGCAACAGCCATTTCAGGAAGACTAGTGGACACCACGGCGCAGGCCTGTCCTCTGGATGGCAGCACGTCCTGGAGGACTTCCCATGGACTAGCCTGGGAGCTGGCTGGGCAAACGGGATCCTTGCCACAAGCACTGACATGGGAAACATTCCCTTAAAAATATATTCCCCACTCGGGGAAGGGGTTTCATTTCACAAGGTCTTAACATACGGGGAGAGGCATTATTCCTACGCCCCAACTTGGTCCCGCTAGAGAGCCTAAGAAAGGGCAGGGAAAATGAGAGAGAGCTGTCTTCCCTTTCAGCACTAGCTATCGCTTTCACTGGAAAGGGTCAGCTCAGCACCTGAGTGGCACCGTTTAAAGCCCTCGTCCGCTGTTCCCGGGACGCGGTTCATCCCAAGGACAGCTGAGACCAGCAATGCTCAATTAACTTCCTTCTTGCGGGCAAAAAAAAAAAAAATCAGCGCGCTCGCAACCGCACCTGATGTCCTTAAAGACTCGTCCCGGCAACTTTACGGCCAGGCCTCGTTAGTGTGTTTCCCTCCCACGCTCGCTTCCAATGCTTCCTGGTCTCCAGGTAGAGGCGATTACCCAGCTGCCAGCTGGAGTTTCACCGGGAGCGAAGGAAACTTGGCTCGGTCCGGTACATCGACGACTGCCTCGGTCCATAACTGCCAGCAGCATCTACTGTATGCACAAAAAAAGAGTACTGAAAAATCCTCAGTGAGTACAGCTAATGCCAGGCAGCAGCATCTGCAGCGAGCTGGCATTTAAACCCCAGGATGCTCGTTTATCACTAACGTGACGTTTCAGTGCCCTATCAGTTCCCAACCTGCGGTCTTCCACCGGAGCCTGGAAAACAAAACGAGAACAAGCTTCCCACAGCCACAGCTCTTTGGAAACACGCCTGCACCGGACCGGGGAAAGACCCTGGACTCCGGTGAGGTCTGCCGTAGCAAAACCAAGGATGCCCTTGCTAGGGGCTCTTTGGAGCAGAGCCAGGTCTCAGCAGACATTTCATAAGGCATCTCCTTTGATACTGGGGCAAGAGCTAACCCATCAGGCACCGCTGACCTTTTGCAACTGCCCGGCACCAAGGCATGCAGCCAGCCAGCAGAGTGCAACCCGAGAGGCCGGGCACCGTGACGTTTCAGAGGCGGACTGCAAGGTAACGGGGGCTGCTCTCCTCACTTCAGCGCCTCCCATGTGTCTGCGCTTTGCCACTTTGTGGGCACCCCACGGCGGGTCCCTGGGCACTGGTACAGCTTGGGCCCTCTCCAGGGAGCAAGGAGCTGCAGGGCTCACGGCACTCACCGGACAGCCGCAGGCATGCGAGTGCCGTGCCCTCCCTCAGCACGTGGCCCCAAGCGTGCCCGCTGTGTTGCTCCAAGCGGTGCAAGCCAGCCCCAAGGCCTGCAGAGAAACCCCGGCGCCCTGGCGGGACGAGGTCCATGAGAGAGGGCCAGACACCCAGGGCCGGTGGCTGAGAGCAAGCTGCCCTTGATCAGACAGAGGAGGCGGCTGCTGGCAAGCTCCCAGGCAAGAAAGAAAACAGAACAAAACAGGCGCTTTTGCCAACCGCGGAGCAGCTTCCAGCTGGCAGGCGGTGCACGTGGAGACAGCTCATCCTGCGCTCGTCTAAAAAAAGGCTCTCTGAGCCAGGGATGGGCCCGGCGCGTGAGAGAGGAGCAGGAGGAGGTTCTGCGCGTGCTGACGCGGCGCTGGGCCTCCGCGGCTCAGACGCAGACAGAAGAGGAGATCACGCAAGAGTACATTGCCCCCGGGAGGCAGGAGAAGCACCCCCCTGCACAATGCCAAAGCAAAAGGACTCGCTTGTGTGCTCTGCCTGGGAAACTATTCACCTGGGTTCTCCCCAGGGCTCTTTTCCTAGAGCCGTTTCCCAAAGAGGGCACGCGCAGTCTTTTTGCAGCAAGTCCAAGCAAGGCTAGTACAGCCACACCATAAGGCTACCGGAGCTGCCCACTGCAGCCGCCGTGTGCTGGGGGCAGGAGACGGCAAATAATCACCTACGTCCTCTGGGGCTTGGTGGCCCAGAAGCATGGAGGGAGGGTCTCGTAATACTAATGCCCCCAAAACACTGTCCTCTCTGCTGCTCCGAAGCTTGGCTGCAACCCAGTCCCGCCGTGCTCCCAGCACCCCACCCTGCCATAACCACTGACTTGCGCACCGTTGCAACGGCCCCAAACTCCGTGCCCGAGGCCCCTGGCTCGCCCCATCTACCAGCGCACAGCACGACTCTCCCCTGGCGACCGGCAGTGCTGAGAGAGAGGAGCCGGCTCCGTTGCCCAGCTCTCAGCCTCGCTGCCCAAAGCGATGACGTGGGATATTTGTAGCCGTTGGTTTTTGGCTGGGGAAGTGTCATGCTTCTACAAAGCAGTCGCCGGGACCTGTCGAGTCTCACTAAATTTAATTACTCCCGACCGGGCGCACAAACACACTCATGAATTTTTGACAGGCTCTCAGTTTTATTCTGTTCGACTCGCAACACGACAGCGTCTCTCTGAGTTTCGCTCCCACTTCTCCTTGGTCCTTCAATCTGCCTGTCCCTGGGGGTCCTGCTGCTGCTCCAGTAGGCTTTACTTTACCTCTGCAAATGGATCGTGCTTCTCAGTGAAAGCTCGCTGCCCGACAAGTCCCGCTGAGAGCAGAAAGCACCCAGAACTGAGCCCAGCCAGAAGAAGTAGGACAGGCTGGGGACAGACATTACAAAAAAATCGGTTTAAGTGATCGGAAACCCGTTTAAACCTGTAACGCAACAGATGTTCACTGCGCATAAACCAGTTTGAACGTGGCTGAAACCGGTTTGGGTTCAACCTGGTTGAATGTAGTATATCAGGCTTAACTGATTTGGGTCAAACCAGTTTATGCAACGTCTGTCTCAAACCCCTTGCTGGTTTAAGATAAACCAGGCCCCCCCCCCCAGCATCCCAGCATGCTCTCTGGGCTGGGCGGGGCTCTCTGCTCCACAGCAGGGCTGGCCCCGACCCCCTGCTCCCTGGTTGCAGCTCTGGCAGAGACTTGCAGGCTGCTCCCCGCAACCACCACTCCCGACGAAGCAGAAATTTCCCTTTCCCCCCGCCTGCCTTGCCGAGGGGTGTCTGCGTGTTAGCTAGCGGACCACATGCTGGCTACAGTCCGTGCTGAATCAACAGGCAGCTGGTAATGTCCCTCTGTTGGTTTCTTAATGGGGTGATAAACACTGAGTTGGGGGTCAATTCCCTGCTGGGCTAATCAGAGCGCCCTGCCGGGGCCTGGCCACGCCCCGCTCAGCTCAGCACTGTGCAAGGGAGGGGAGGGCTGCTTTAGTGTCCCCTGGCTTCTAGCCTGAGACACTGCAGGCACGTGCCTGCCTTTCTGGCATGTCAGCATGCAGTTACAAAGCGATCAAGCCTAGCCAGCAGGGCTGTGTGTCATTTCGCCCCGCGTTTCATTTCAAAGCTGTTTCGAGCTCCAAACAGCGACATTGAAATGAAACAAAAGCCTTCGAAACCGCTTCGAAACAAAGCAAGGTCACTCGAAACCTTTCAAAAGTTTTGAACAGAGCTTTTGGAACGAAACCAAACTCAAAACGAAACACCCTTCCGTTGCAACAGCAAAACGGATGTCGAAGCGGAAAGATGCTGCTTTGCACAGCCCGACTGGCCAGGTTAGACTAACCTGCAAAGACTGGCTCAATTCAGGCTCCGGCTTTTGCAATGCGTCTCCCTACCACCAGGTGTATGCCCCAAAGAGCGGCAGTTTTGGTAACCGGGCTTACGACCGATAAGGGCCAAGGTGGAGAACACCTACAGCAGACAGTGCCCTGCTCTCAGCAGTGCTCCCTATTTGGCTTTGGAGAAGAGCTACAAGAAGGATGCAAGAGTGGTGAAACATATCTCACTACGTGAGCCCTAATGAGCTGGGGCCTTTCAATTTTATTTTACACAGAAAAGACCAAGCAATGACCTGACGGCGGTCTGTCAGTGCGGTTCCTGAGAGCCGCAGGCCCATTTCCTGGCAGGCAATGGCAGAACAAGATCCAGTCCCTGGAATCGGCAGCTAGGACCTTCAGACTGGGAAGGAAGGGCACCTTTATACCCACAAATGTAATTCAGCGCGGGACTCTCTCAGCCACGAGAGGAGGCATTCTCTGCTAGCTGCATCATTACATCAAGCCAGTACGGCTCTCTCAAAAGCACTCCTCTATCCCAGCCTGTGCTGGCCCGGACATCGGGCCTACAGGGTGAGGCTCCCTGGTGCGGTTCATGCCCACCGTACTCCCTTCTAAGTTTAAAATCAATGAAATACTGTACCTAAGAGAATAGCCAGGGCACTTTCCAACCGGAGCCTGCAAAGGATGCACGTCAGGTTCCCGGAGGACCGGGGCCCCGGGAAAAGGGACGCGCGAGGTGCCGTGAGAAAGGGAGCATTGAACCGCCAGCCATTCCTATTGCGACCGGTGTGTAGGCCTGCAAAAGGCCCAGCTGAGAGAGACTGAGGTGGAGACAGGCAGAGCATGGTGCTGAGCCACTTGCAGCCTCCGATTGGAAAGAGTCGGCACTGCTTGCTGCAGCTCAGTGGCCGGGGCCCAGCAGGCTGATCCTATGGAGGACGGAGGTCCTACGACAGCCCAGTCCTAGCTGTGGAGGGTTGCGCTTGCGAAAACTGGGCCCTAGGCTGCTTCTGGGACTTGAAAGGAGCCCGACGTGCATGTGGGCTCTCTCTCTCCCCCTCTTCCATTGCAGCTCATCTCATGCCCAGAGCTGCAGCTCCCTAAAATAAACTGTCTCACGGGCTGCGCTCCGTGCCTCTTGCCTTGCAACTCCCCGGGCTTTTCAAGCCTCGCTCACACAGGTGGCCGGGCTTTCTTGGAACCGCTCCGCAGCGCTTGCGTCTCATCGATTCCCCCAGGACACAGGGGCACAGGCCCCGGGCGCAACATCCTGCTGACCGAGGTAGAGCGGTGTGCCTCCCCACGAGAACGTTTAATTGGCACTAGGTTCGAAAGAAGGGACGGACCCAGGCCAGGTCTGTGAACTTTCTTGCAGCTCCTAGTCCGTCGCCGCACCGCGATCAATAAACAATTACCCAGATGGAGCCAGGAAAGGGGAAGGCTGGGGCCAAAGCTGGAAGCCGAGGAATGAGATTAATGCTTGCTGCTCTGCCTCAGAAGCCGCTGTTCCGTGGCGAGCCCGGGCAGCCCTGGCGCTGCGTCTCTGTCAGCCGGCTCTGCATGCTACGGAGGAAAGGTGACTTTGCAGCACAGCCTCATCCATCCTTGCTGCTGTGAAGCCTTCCGTGCACCCGGATGCCGAGACCTTCCCCGCTGCTAACTCTTCGTAACATTTCGACAGCCCTCCTGGAGAGCTGCTGGCCATTCACGCCTCTCTGCAGCTGAAGCGTGGCCTCCTCACGCCACCGCAAGGAATTAAAGTGCTCTTGTCCAGCTACACCCACCAGAGGTACAGTCCTAGATGATGAGGGCTCAGGAGGTCGCACCTAGTCCAGCCTCCTGCTCATAGCAGGACAAGCCCCAGCACCATCATCCCAGCCAAGGCTTTGTCAAGCCGTGTCTTAAAAACCCCCAAGGATGGAGAGTCCACCACCTCTCTGGGGAACCTGCCCCAGTGCTTTGCTACCCTCCTAGAGAAAGTTTTTCCTAACATCTAACCTCAACTTCCTTCGCAGCATCTTACGACCGTTGCTCCTTGTTCTGTCATCTGCCACCGCTGGGAACAGTCCAGTCCCATCCTCTTTTGAACCCCCCTGCAGTGAGTTGAAGGTTGCTGTTAAATCCCGGCTCAGTCTTCTCTCCTCCACGCTAAATGACCCCAGTTCCCTCAGCCCCTGGTCATCAATCGTGTGGCCCAGCCCCCGAACCATTTTTGTTCCCTTCTGCCCAACTCCCCGGTGCGTCCCCATCCTTTCTGTAGTGGGGGGCCCAACACGGGACACGGGACTCCTGCCCTTGTTGGGCTGGCAACACTTGTACCAGTGCAGCCCAGGATGGCGTTAGCCTTCTGGGCAACCAGGGCACACTGCCGGCTCATGCCTGGGTTCTTGTCCACCGCCACCCCCAGGTCCTTCTCTGCAGAGCTGCAGCCCAGCCCGTACCGGGGCATGGCATGGCTCTGTCCTAAGGGCAGGACTTGCCACTTGCCTTTGTTGAACCTCATGTCATTTCCTTTGGCCCAATCCTCCAATTTCTCAAGGTCACTCTGAATCCTAGCTCTACCCTCCAGAGTATCTACTACTCCCCGCAGCTTGGAGTCACCTGCAAACTTGCTGAGAGTGCGCTCTATGCCAGCTTCCAGGGTGTCAATTAAGATCTTGAACCAACCCCGAGACTGACTCCTGGGGCACTCCGCTTGATATCGGCTGCCAGCTAGACCATGAGCCGTCGACTACTAGTCTTGGAGCCCGATGCCCCAGCCAGTTTCCTCTCCACCTTACA